AAACGCCTTTTTACAATAAAAGTACGTATAAAAACAATAAATCGTATTTACATAAATGAAAATAAATTGTAAACAAGTATAAAACAAAACTTGAACATACATGACAATAAAAATTATTATTATTTTGTTTTTTATCACAAGATAAATTAAAAATATTCTAAGATATTTTCAATAGAAAGAATGTGGTCTTTTAATTTATCTTTAAAAACAGGATAACTTAGGGGTAAGTCGAAATTAGGCAAAATAATATTTTTCCAGAGATGAGCTGCACGATAGGTAATACAAAATTGATTTAATTTTGTTGGATAGAATGGTTCATTTAAATAATTATTATTTCTAATGTTAAACTTGCTTAAGGGTTTCAAAATAAAAAGATCTTTAAAAATTAAAGGAGATAAATTATGTTTCCCCATATAGACAAAAGATAAATTTTTATATGCGTTTAGTTTATATATACCTAGGATTTTCATTTGATTAAAAAATATTGAGGAACGTGCGAACCGATCCGCAGAATTAATTAATTACCCCAGGCAATAATCCATAACTTATATAACTGTGGATAAAAGAGTAATAAAGTTTAGTTAAATTATTTTTATCTAAATGAATACGCATTTTATATAAAATTCCGATGCTTCTTGAAACTTTTGAGCAAACATAGTTAATATGATGTTTCCATGTGATATTCTCGTCAATGAAAACCCCCAGATATTTAGTTACAGAATCTCTTTTAATTTCAATATGGTCAATTAGAATTTTCGGTAGATTTGGAGGTAGAAAACGTTTTTTGGAGAGCGGGTGGAAAAAAATCCATTTTGTTTTGGTTATATTCAATGTTAATTTGTTACTTTTAAACCATTTAGATATGTTTCAAATTCTTTGTTCATCATGGAGAAAAGTAGATAGATGTCACTGTTAGAGAGAAGTAAGTTTGTGTCATCAGCAGACATAATACTTAGATATATATTAGAAAAAAAAGAGGATTGATATATATTAAAAACAAAAGAGGGCCTAAGATGGAACCTTCCGGAACACCACAGGAAACATTTAAAAACTGTTTATGATTAAGTTCATTACAAGAAACAAATTGTTTTCTGTTCGATAAATATTTTTGAAGCTATTTAATTACTCTTTTTTTTATTCCGTAATAACTAAGTTTATAAAGCAAAATATCATGATCGACAGTATCAAATGCTTTTAAAAGATTGATAAAAATTCTTAATGTAAATTGAGATTTTTCAGAAGAATTGGAGATTTCACGCACCAACTGAATAATTGCACGCTCAGTTGAGTTATTCTTTTTAAAGCCAAACATATATAATATTTGTATAATAAATTATTTAAACTAAAATAATTAAATACTCTATTGAACATGATTCTTTCTAGTATTTTTGAAAATATGGATAAGATAGAAATAAGCCGGTAATTACTTATATCAGATTTGTCACCACCTTTGAAAAGTGGAATGACTAGCAATTTTCAATTGATCAGGAAAGACTCCTTGTTCTATTGATGATTTAAAGACTTTAAAAAGAATATATTTTATTTGTTCAAAGCAATCTAAAATTATTTTGCTCCAAGTTAAATCTCAGACACCAAAAAATGCTAAATCCGTCACTGCCACAGATTTCTTGTTTCCGAAGCAAATTTGCTTCAGAATTCAGCGTTTAAACGCTTCAAATGTGCAATAAATATTTATATACATATAAATTTTTAGCTTAAGATAAATATCTCAAGAAAATATGTAAAAAAATAATTTTTAAATTTACATTTAGGGTTCAGAGTTTGCAGTTAGATATCGGATTAAAATTCAATTTATTAGAACCATTTAAATAACGAGAAAGCGAGAAAGCAGTCGCCGTAGCTAGCTCCTTGAATCCACTCATCATTTTTTTTAATGGTTTTTTTTACAAGAACTCTTCATTTAAAGTAGCTTCTGAAGTTTCTTCTAGCTCATCACACGCTCTACATTATCTTAAACAAATTTTACTGCAAACAATTTTTCATTACGAAATATTTTTCTTAAAACAAAAAATACGTTTTTTGTTAATAAAAAATAAATATCCTACCCTGCAAATTTATTTTTAAAAACAAGAAATATATTTCTTGTTTTGAAAAATTAATCTCTTAAACTATGCTTAATAGATTTACGATTTTGCTGTGAGTTTTGATGAGTTGTCAGCAACTTTGAAATATTTTAAAAGTTTTAGAACTAACTGTACCCAAAAAGTCTGAGGAATTCTCATCCGTAGAAATTTATTCAACTATGACTTAGAATATCAAAAATTAACCAGGTAATCTGGTGAAATATACAACTCAAAACCTAGTGGCTGGTCTTTATCAATAAAAACTGCATTCAGAAGGATTTCAGCTATGATTATATCCGTTTTTACATCTTTTCAGACCTTCCTTTGTTTTTGAATACAGACCTTTTTACTATTTTTATATTGTGATCTTAGTAAAAAGATGCTAACGCCAGCACCAAGCACCTATAAGTTTTTGCCATGATTTGAATTTCACCTCCGCAGCAGACTCAGTATACATCTGCCAATAGTCTTGTTGATCTTAAAAGTGTAAGTTAAAAATAGTGCAATCTAGATAAAATAAAGTTTAAAATGACATTGCTAAATACTTATTACATTTATTTTTGACAAGATAAAATCAAAGTGCTATTTCTATTGATTTCATTTTTATTATATTTCTACTGATTTTAAGAAAAGTCTGTCATTAGAAAAAAAAATTGGTTTAGATTTATTTTTTTTGTAGTAGTAATAGTAGAAAAATTGCTGCAACAGATTTCCCTGTATAACCTACAGGTTTTGGCAGCCTTATCTACTTATAACACTAATTTTGTTCATATCAATATATAAAAATTTAAAATAAGATATATAGTATGAAGTATAAGTTTGTACTTTATTGTTTTTCCTTTTCTTTTCTTTTTTTTTTTTTTGTTATAATCTTGATACTTATGCGGATTATTTTAAATTTCTGCATCAAGTTTAGCCTTGAAACTGTTAACTGATGAAGCGTATACAACTTCTGATGGCAATGCATTCCAATGATTCACTATTCGATTAGTAAAAAACTGGTGCCTTTGCTCGCAATTTTGAACATATCCTTTAGTCATTTTTAGATAATGTCCTCTAGTTTTTATTTTATCTGACTCCCCAGTACGAAGGACATGGGGTTCACTCCATGAGACAATGTCTATATTGTTAATAATTTTATAGGCCTGTATTAGATCTCCCCTAATGCGACGGGTATCTAAAGACGTTAAGTTTAGTATAATCAGACGATCTTTGTATGACATATGACGGTACGAAGGTATTAAACAAGTAGCTCTTCTTTGTACTTTCTCGATTTTGTCAATATCTATTCTTGATGATGTATTACTGGCTGCTACCGCATGTTCCAGATGAGGTCGTATAAAGGTTGTATATAGAATTTTAAGTAGTTGCGGAGTCATCTGATTCTAACCTTCGTTTTTTAAACAAATTTTTTCTTTATGACATAAATTATTCTTAAATAATAAGACTAAAATATCAAAACTAAAGAAATTAAGTTTTACTTTAAAAATTGCAGAATCAAAAAAGTCGCAGGTCAAAAACCGCAATTTTAGTAAGCCATTCTATTGATCTCTTTGAGTATTTTATTACTCAGAATAAAAACCTGCCTGATTTTAGAGAAACACAACTTGAATTTCATGAAAGTCAAGGCGCGTGAAACAACTCCATTTTTGTTAGT